TCAGTAGGAAGGAAATGAATTAGTCTCCACCTATCGCAGGGAAATGTATTAAAAGAATTAACATAATTTTAAAATTTCCACCTTGAAGCCAAAACTTGAAAAATTATAGTCATTGTCCGAAACTTTCATTATTTTTAATGTATGTGTAAGAGCAATTTATGATAACTTGAGCTCTTTCTTAAGTATAAATAACTCTTAGATGGAATTAAAGTATGTTATTTACAGGGTTTTTATCCAGTGGTATATAAAATACATAAAATAACCTATATTTTAGAGATTCAGTATGTGTAGGTAACAGGTTTTTTTAAATCACTGAAAAGAAAGCTTAAGAATCAATCACATTTATTAATATAATTCACTATCTGTAATCATTAATCCATTTCCCTGACACTTTTTAAAATTAAGGCATCATTATCTGATGAAGTGGTATCTTAAAGAGTTTTAGAGAATTTCTGAATCAGCCTTATCTTGAAGTGACTTTTTCTGTTACACATCCCCCCGATTTTCACATCTTAGCAAAATACTATGTATTGCATGGGTTTTTTCATAATTATCCTAGAAATTAAATGGATGGCTAGGGACTGGAGTTTTCTACCCACATATTGCAAGTTGGGGGCATAAAGCAAATCCCACCAACCTAAGGTTCACATTCATAAGGACATGCACATAATCATACTGGTTATTAAATATCAAGATAATTCCATACCAAAGGTCATAATCACTTCTAGTCCCCAATCCCCGAACTACTTCCTGTGACTTCCCCAGGATCCAACAACTAAGGGAAGGAGAGGGAGAAATGGAAAGTTGCTCACTGTATTTTTGACTGTCATTCCTTGTCTTTGAACTGCTTTAACAACAACAAAGCCCATAAACTAGGTGGCTTATATGCAACAGGTATTTCTCACTGTACTAGAAATTGGGTAGTCACGGAGAAGGCTTTAGTTCATAGATCGTGCCTTTTCTTTGTTGCCCTCACCTGAGGGAAACAGGTAGGTAGCTCTCTGGGCCTCTTTACAGGGAAACCCTCAAGAGCTGATCACCACCCATGAGTGGCCCCACCTCTTAGTACTATCACCTTGAAGACTAGAATTCATCATACAAATTTTAAGTGATTGACCACAGCACTTTTCTATCTATAATAATGAGAATTACTGCTTTTACATTCTAAGGAGAGTAAACTGTATTTAGAATAGGGCAATTCTTAGTTTGATATCTAAATACATCAAAATTCTGGTTGCTGTAGCTTCTTTACAGAGCAATGTTTTTGTGGATTCACAAAATGCATGTATTTTAACAGTGTTAGCTACAAAAAGTTATATGACATTGAAAAACATCAGAACAATTTAGGGAGTATTCTAAATAATGCCAGAGTTAAAGGGCATTTTTCGTATTTCTTTGTGAAATACTGAAATCGTAAATCTGATCAGTATTTCTACTAAAACAAAATGTATAAGCCGATGACAAATATTTCTTTCTCTTCATCTTTTTGAGACAGGGTCTTGCTATGCAGTTTAAGCTGGTCTTGAACTCATAGCAATCCTCCTGCTTTAGCCTCCCAAGTGCTGGGATTACAGGCATGAGCTACCATGCCCAACAAGAAGACAAATATTTCGTATGAATATATTCTTTTCCTATTTTTTAAACTCAAAAACTACATATTGAATACAAGGATTAAAATGTTTCTAGTTATTTATGGGGTAAGTGGAAATACATAAGATTTTAAAACTGGCATTCACAATATTTTGTAAAACAAAGCCAGTAAGCACAAAATTGGGCAGCATATTAAGAACTTTAGGTCTTTCAATAGGAAATTAAACCCTATTTTAGTCATTACATGTTCCATAAGAGTAAAAATTTAAGTGAGCTAATATATGATCATCATAATAGGTCTCAATTTCCTAACAGTGTTATCTTTCTGTCTACGTAAAAAAGGGGAAGCAGCTATAATACCAAACCACAATAGCTTTTAATTTTAATTCTGACTTACAAGTCCTAATTAGAATATGTGATATTTTACCAAATTCATACACAAACATTTCATATATGCATACATGAATTTGACAAAGAATAAGTTAATGATGTAAACACAGAAAAAAAATTTACAGTATTAATGAACTGGCCTGGAACTTTTTCCAGTTAGCTCATTGTTTGCCTCTATTTTCCTCAACTGTGGTTTGAAAACTTTCATTTCTTTTTTGGGGGGTGGGGGGCAGGTACTAGGGACTGAATTCAAAACCTTGCACTTGGCCAGGCAGGGGCTTCAGCTGCTGAGCCACTTCCCAGCTCAAACTTGGTTAAGGTGACCAGATAATTGGAAGCCATAATGCCCTTTGCAGAGCCTCCTGAGTTACCGATGTATTTAATCCCAGCATAAAATTATACCAGCTAGGAACAATTTTACCACCGACAACACGGTTTCATTATGGTTTCTACATTTCAAAACTACTACTATAAATATTTATTAGACCACATTTCATAGCAGGATCATAAACAACAATCTCAGTCAAGCCAACTAGCAAGGCATAATTCAAAGACAAATTGCTGTTTGAAACAAGTGCTCAAGTTTAATTTCCTACTGTTCACTGTACTTTGTTTTTACCTAGTGTTAGCCCCCAGATCATCTTTCTTCAATCCTGTTCACCTAGCTTGGGCCCATAGTATCTGAAGCCTGACTCCTGTGAATGTGGTCTTAACACATTCCAGTAGCTCTTCAGTCTATTTCAGTGAGGTAAAGGAAATGAGGTATTCAAGAGACTGTAATTTAATTAAGAGGTAGAGTACCCTATTCCACATTGTTTGAAAAATGCATATACTTGAGGTGGGAATTTCTAGTCTTTATTTTAGATGGGATTTTGAGATTTAACTTTTCAAATATTTTTGCTCCTTTTCAAAGCACTGGTCCTTCAGAAACCGTTGCACGACCTGTTATGCTCTAGATGTTTGTATTCCTCCAAATTTGTATGTGGAAGTCTCATTATCAGTGTGGTATTAAGAGATAAGATAGTGTCCTTCCAAGAGACCCCAGAGAGCTGCTCTGCCCAGGAAATGGGGTCACACCAGCAGCTTCATTGTGGACCTATATCCTCCAAAGCTGTGAGGAATAAATTTTCTTTAAATTTAATCTACCCCATTTATGCCATTTTGTTATAGTACCACAAATGGATTAAAAAACTCTAAACTCTGGGTTATAATTAATAGTAATAAATTTACTTATTACCTGTCAAATGTGGATACAGACCTCAAACTTAGCCTACGAAGAATCAATCATCCCACTATTGTAAATAAGAGATGTAGAAAAATCAACGATTTGCTCACACATGTGGCTACTAAGTGGCTAAATTAGGAACCCAGCCTAGCCTCCAAAGGACTCATCCATGATCTGACTCAGTCATCATGCTTTGCTATCACCATGGAGATCAATTTTCTGTGTTATACAAAGGCCTTAAGGGTTCTTTCTACTACTCTTGAGATTACTCACTCAGGTATCCAAAAATAAATTATTTCACTGCCACCTGCCACCAAGAGCAGAGCCCAAGGCTTATGCTAATCAGCAAATCTTAGAAAAATGGAAATGCAGGCCTTAAAAAAAATCCTGCTACACAATTACAAGTTGCTTACCGGGGCAGCAAGTCAGTGTTACTGCTTGTGTAGTAACTACAATATACTATTTAGATTCATTGAGGAATAAACAAGTTCACACTTCTGGCATACACTTGAAGTCCCTGCACCCCCATAATTAAGCATTTGAATTTTTCAGTAAAGATGAACTATTTATAATTATTTTCCATGACCATGAGGTCATTTTTACCAATAGCATGGTTAAACCACACCATATTATAGCAGTATTAACAATACTTCAACTTTCCTTATTATAACAATGGTTTTGTATCAACAATCTAAGATTGTTGTAGTGTGTTCAATTTTTCCCGAGTGTCTTGTTCATAGTTAAAATTCTTGTTTAAAAACCAAACCATCCCCATATTAAAAATAAACACAGTGAAACTATCCTAGCTTTCTAAATGTATTATTCCCCCTTCCATATACTATCACCCTGATGATTCCAAATGTAAAATTTTCAGGTAATTGAAATACATATCTCTACTTATGACAGAAAATGATTTGATGAATTTATTTCCACCTTAGCAGAGGAATAGAGATCCACTACTCCTAAATTCAGTAATACTGCATATATTAAGTTGAAATATAATCAAGTCTTGGGGGCTATCCTGTGTAAGAAAATACACTCATCACAATATAGTCCCGGCTTATAGATTTTTGACTCTTTGGAGTCTTCTGCCTAGGAGGAAGCTTACTTCCCTTTCTGCTTAACAGCCGACAACTCTCATAATGTATGCATTATGTCAGTAAGGTTCTTCATGAGATTTGTAAGGCTCTCCAGGGAGGACAAGATAGCTTTTGCTTATAGATGTGGTGGGGTCTATGTGGTGGTGTTTCTGTAAGCTGAAATAGTATTTTGATGTTTTTCATTTTCAGCTCTTCCTATAATTTCCCAACATTTATAGCTTAAAAACATTTTAGTGAAAAGTGTCTCTGAATCAAATTTTAATTTCCATAGATGTCTAGAGCAATGGCTACAAATTAACATGCATTTTGAATTGGTATTCTCTGGCAGTATGTTCAGAGAATTGGTGACCAGATCTTCATACCAGGAATTAAAAGGTTGCCAATACATTTTCTACTGAGAAGCACTTAACTTTCCTGTGTTCATCATGATAAGAAGTGATAGTTCAAACAATTTATTGCTGCTTTATAGTTTACATAATTAAATGAAACGTGTTAAACTCAAGGGAATTTTAATAGGTTACTTGCAATTGTTATTGCAGGCAACAACTTGTACATGATTTTATTTCCAAATCCACAAAAAACAAATTTTATACAAATCAGCACTGTAAAAATGTCAATTACAGCCCCAGAGGCTTTGCTGGCAGAATAATTGTCTAAATTCTAGGATATGGGAAACAAGATTTTTTTCTGGATTCTTTTTTTTTCATCTTCTTTCTTTTTTTTTTTTTTTTACAAAAAATTTACAAGTGAAATGTTACTACGAAAGTTTTTATAAGGAATTTTTGCAAAACATTTACATTTTACCATCAACTATTTCTGTTTTAAAATCATTATGTAGATTTAATACCCTATGCTGCACATCAATTTATGTGGGATGACAACTTAGTGACATGCATAAAAAAACACCACAAGGCATTAAAATGGAGACTTAAATACAAATATTGTTGCAATAAAACAGTTATAAAATTGAAAAATAGGACCTAAACATCATGCTTATCTAAGTTTGACAAATTAACTTTTTCTCCTAGATTACACACTTTTATTACTGCTCTCATGAGAGTGTGATAAATAATGACAACATCAAGTTCTAATGTAATCAGCAACACATACACAAACCTAACCAAAGAAAGTATATTGTAAGAAAAAACTACTCTAACACTGGAGTTCTACCATGATAAATACATAGCTTTGCACTGATAATTACAAAAAAGAAAAGTTTTATAACGGTGGCAAAGGGAATGAACAGTGAAATGCCATTAAACAAGACTCTACTGCACATCTGTGCCCTATTACTTATAACAGCTATATCCCACTGAGTCAAATAAAGGACACGGAAATTTATGATTCTTATAAGACAGAAAAGTGGACTCAGAATGGTATGCAGAACAGACTGTCAAAATATTTCTAATTTCTGTGGTGAAATGTGCACCTGCTAACACAAATTAATAAATTTTATATGCTATAAAGCTATCCAGATTCAGTTTGATAAATTTATAATAGGCCTCATTGTTGATTAAAAAAACCTTCCATTTCTGATAAACATACATGGATTTGCATTACAGCTAGTAGGGAATAATGATGCAGGGTGCTCATACCTGGTACTAAAAACAACAAAAAGTGTCACTTGGAGAAAACATGATTAAAACATTAAGAAAGTTCCCTTGCATAAAAAAATTTGTAGCACTGATTGTGTAGCATAATGATAAAATATATATTTGATGTTTCAGCTCCTATGTAATAAAATTAAAATTAACACTACCAAATTCCTCTGTACCAAACAAAACAAACTAATTCTGATGTTTTAAAGCCAGATACATCAGTTAAGTGTACATTAAATAAAATATACAAAACAATTTACAAAATTCAACTAAAATTTAAAGACTCTGTTACAAGTCTACAAAAGCTTTAAGAAACTTGAAATTTATAACCACAGTGTAAAAATTTTTTTCCTTTAATCTCAAAGCTTTTTTATACAAACTGAAAGCACAAAAGACCTTCAGTTTTATATAACGCTACAAAGGGCTGGCCTAAAGTGTACATAGTGTAAACAGTGATCATTACAGTATTTCTCCTTCATCAAAAATACAAGAAAACGTCACAATTTTGGAAGAGAATTCGCAGGAGTAGTACTTTTCCTGAAATAATAGAGAATGCATAAGAAAACATGGACCTATTTTCATACAGTTTCCCAAACCAATGATGTTAATAAACCAAACAAGTAAAAACTTTAATTTTCATTTTATGATTCTATGTAAATACTCAATTGAAATGAAGATTTTAGTAATATTTAAACTATTAGAATAATTCAATTTTTATCATATGAAACTTTTGGCCATCTTTCCTAATATAACCATTTTCTATTAGATCCTGGCATGAAAAATGAGATATATTGTTGTTTTATCTTTAGTAACTATTTGACTGAAAAGTATTCTAACTTTTCAAAAATAATTTTTACTTCATAATATGTATCTATTATACATTTGTTAGGCCGCTTAGATGTTCAGGGAAAATTCATTTATTGACAGAGCACAAACATATAAATTCCTAATTAACATTCTAACAGTACTAGAAATAAAATGGGATTGGCCAATTTTTAGTAAAGGAAAACAAAAATTATAATATAGTTAAAATATAATTTTCTGATGGCCTTGAAAAAGTGTGATAATTCTTTCTTTGGCTACCAAGTCAAAGCATAAAGAATTCTGCACATTTTCAACATAACTCATATTTACAGAATATGAAACTACAAAACCATTTATAATCTATGCAAATATTTCCAATATAAACATTTAAAATGAAATGTTACGGTTCAACCTAGGGTTAGGAATCTAATCAGTCCTAACTTTAAAACATCACATGTCAAGTTGCTTCATTTTATTTTCTGAAGCTATTATGTGTTTTGTTTTTACTATTTTCCCCCCACCATTTTCTAAGTTTTCAATCTAAAAATTTAACCTAAGAGTTAGCTCTAAGTTCTCCTTGTGTCTCCAAAATGGAGCAAGTAATTGGATTTCATTGATTGTCTGAATACCCACTACTACAATGTAGTGGTAATAAAGATCTGAGGTGCATCTCAGATTACTGTGTTGGAACTTACCTAATTTAACATTTGAAGAATTTCTAACATTTAGAAAAGACGGCCAAAACTCTTTTGAGTTGATTTTTCAAAAATCAAACTGAGGAAATACAGTATTATCCCTATCTTCAGTTAACAGTTTTCTGTCTATAGAGAAAAGGAAATATATGTAAATTATTATTGATTGATTTTGTAACAAAGTACTTTCAAAAAAAAGGTCCAATTAAGGTCCAGCCTGCAAACTACTGAGGTCTGTCTTTTTAAACACATTAATACATGATGTTTAGAGAGTGGAGTGTTCTGTTTAAAGGTTATGGAATATATTTCCAAATAACTATAATTTATACCATGAAGGAAATACTTTCTATCTGTTTCCAGTATAATCGTTTGCTTTTTGTATTTTTAAAATGTCAACACTTAAGGTGTTGAACCAAAACCCTGGAATACTTGAAAGAAGCCAAGAATGAAATCATGATTTCCTACTCTGTAATCCACTTAACCAGCCCATTTCCAGATTTTCGAAGGTGTGTAAACTTAAGTGCAGCACTAGAGGTCTCTGTTATAAATAGCTTTTCAAAATTCTTCCATGTTGGCTGAAACACTGGGAGTTGCTGGGTTCGAATCTTGAGAAATGGCTGCAACGGTGACAATTCTTGGGGAGCCAAGCACCTCTGTAACAGATGAGTCCAGTTCTCCCGAGGTAACAATGGCAAGAGCTGTCCCACCTCCTTTCTTATTCTGGTGTGTTTTGACATGTTTGGAAAGATGATCACTCCGCATAAACCTTTTAGAACATTCTGGGCATTCAAATCTCTTTTCACCTATAAGAAAAACAGATGAATTTATACACATCTTAAACAAAATTATGATATTTAATATTTTCTCTCCTGGTCATGCTATGTAATTTTTGCATGGTATGAATTTTTCTATATTTTGATCAGACACAATATTTTTTCTTCTTTATTAAAAAACTATCAAATCAACTGTGCAGGACAGGAGATAAACTATGTGAATGAGAATAAAAGGTGAGAATTACAGAGCTAGTTCTCCTATAAACTGGAAATAAAAGCTTGAGGAAGGAAAAGAACTGTCCTGGGCCTCAGTTTCTTTACTTTTTTGCAGAACGAGGGATTGAACTCAGGCCCTTCTACTGAGACATCTTCCTGGTCCTATGGACCTCAGTTTCTGTGTCCACAAAATACAATGGTTTCTAACATATGATCTTAAAAATCTCTATCAGGTGTGACAATACATGTTTCCCATCTATTCTCTAAAACTGTTACTTTGGTTTTAGTTTCAATCCCCATAGATATGAAATATCTGTAAACTTTTTAAATGAAGAGTTGAGTGGTGTAATAAGTTTTCACAAGATAGAAATAATAGGTGGCAGGAACATACCACATTTCAAATTAAATGGTTTTTAGGTTTCTCAGACTAATACCATTATTTTCTGCTATATAAAGTCATCCTTAAATATACTCTTCAAAATATGAATGCTAAAACTACTTCTATGCTTTTCAATAAAAACTACAGAGTCTGCCAAAAACAAGTATATGCATTTTAAGAAAAAACAAATAGTATGATTTTTTTTTTCAACAGATGGTATTACCTTCATATGGTGGACTCTAGAGGATGTTGTGTATTGCAGAAAACCCACTACACAGCTGGCCCTTACAGACACTGAAATTGTATGTGTAGCAATCTCAATAACCAAGGATACCCAAGCAGCAGTTCACTGTACTAGTAAATGTCTGGAAACTAGTGGCCACCACTCTGAACACCTCCTGTAATTAATTGAGGGAGGATAAAGTAACTTGTATTAATCTCAAGATGTCTCAATAAATTTTGTATTAAAATATTTATACATATTTTTCTTCTCCCAAAGAATATACATAGTCTTTTGGTGAACTCTGTATATGTTAACTAAAAATGAAGAAGAGGCCATTTTATTTCTGTGTATACTGGATGGGGCACATGAAAATTTGGTTAATGGGCACATCCTGGTGTTTTAATGGTTATGTATTGTAGATTTAGCCTTTCCTTCTAAAATTTATATTTATGGGGATGAAACAACATTATTCCAGTTTGATAGTGAAGCTTGGATAATAAGGAAATTTATTTATTTATTTATTTATTTATTTATTTATTTGGCAGAACCGGGGATTGAACTCAGATTGTTGAGTTTCCCAGTCAGACGCTTATCCTACTGAGCCATCTCCCCGGCCCCCTTAAAATTTTTTGTTTGTTTTTACAGTACTGGGGATTGAACTTAGGACCTTATGCTTGCCAGGCACACACTTATTCTACTGAGCTATCTCCCTAGCCCAGGAAATTCAGTTTTATTTTCTAGTCCTGCCTTTTGATGTACCAAGAGAAAAATCTGTGAAGTCAGATTTGTTCATGTCAGGTTTTCCCCTTTTATTTGCTTGGGAATCAGATAACTTAGTAACATTACAGCAAGATTCAAGGCTCCTGATTTATAGTCTGGGCTCTTTATGCTGCACTGGCAGACTGTAATGAGACACTACTTTATTTTATTGCAATAAAAGATATGATTTATCAGATCAGGCAGTGATGACCTACAAAAAATATGGATTATTCTGTAAGTACACAGCTGGTATCAACTAGTACACAGTTGCCTCAACAAGTATTTATTAATTGGGATGTTCATAAACTCAGGGTTTGTTTTTTTTTTAACCAGAATGTGTAACAAACGAGTCTCTGACTTTAGGATTCTCTTGAGACATTTAATGCAACCATGCACTGTAGAGTGGTAAGGCCTGATTAAGAAATGAAGAAGTAATGATCACCAGCTACTCAGCAGCACACCACAAGATGAATGGGAACTAATGATGACATGGTTAGTATGTGCACTTCTTAGTCGGTCTACTTATTGTGTGGGTACTCAATTAATTTCAAGCAATAAAAGCTGGCAAGAATCTCAAACATGTAAATTATGTTATGCAATTATACTTTCATTAAAGGAATTACTCATCTCAGTTCTTTTATCTTTTTCTACAGTGAAGTTATATTTTCTGTTGTGTCAGGCAATTTCCCACCCTCCATAGCATGATCACTATACCTCAAGATGTAGACTATATATATGAATATTTTATAATTAATGTATTTAGTTATCAAAACTATTGGTATTTGTCACAGTGGTAGGTGGAATGTCCTAACAAAAATGTTCGTATTTCAAACCCTGCAAGATGGAAGCATGTTTACATGGTAAAAGGGACTTCACAGATTTAACTAAGGTCAGAGTTTGATACAGGAAAATCAGTTGATCGGTGTGAGCTCAACTGAATCACATGAGTTTTAAAGCCCTGATAGTTGCTGTAGGTCACATGGAAGATGTGACAAGAAATAGGGCAGTCTCCAAGAGCGAACAATGGCCCCCAGTGACAGCCAGCAAGGAAAAGAGACCCAAGTCCTACAACAGCGGAGTTTAACTGATGTGAATGAATCTGGAAGCAGATTCTTTAGCAAGGAGTAGCCCTGCTGATGCCTTGATTTCACCGTATGAGATGATAAGCATATACTTTAGCTGAGCCCACTAGACTTCTGACCTAAAAAACTATGGAAAACGTTACAAGTGTGTACAATATTTTTGTCATTTTTTTGTTGCTGTTGTTACTGGGGATCAAACTCAGGACTTTTGCACTTGCCAGGCAGGCGGTTATGCAGCTGTGTAAAATATTTTAAGCTGCTGAACATTTTACAGTTTTATAAAAATTGATGCAGGATTTTGCCAAATATTTACTCTGTATTTAAATGATCACATATTTTTGTTTTTTCATCATTAACATGATGAATTATACTGTTCAGACAGTCTTTAATTTCTCAAACTCTATTTAGTTCTGATGCATTAGCCTTTTCAGGTACTGCCAGACTTAGGTTGCTAATCCTTTGTTGCAAATGTTGATACCCAGAGTTATAATATTGGTCTACAATTTTCTTCTGTATTCTTAGTAATGTATTTGCTTGGTTGGTATGACAATGTAGACTGAGAAATGTTTCCTCTTAAGTTTTAGAAAGAGGCTGTGCAAAACTGCTATTATTTTCCCCTAACTGGTATAACTTAGCAAATGAAACCTTTTAGGCCTAGTTTTCGGTTTTGTTTTTTTGTTTGTTTGTTTTTGTTTTTCTTTTTGGTGGAACTGGGGATTTGAACTCAGACCCTTGCACTTGCCAGGCAAGTGTTTATTCGACTGAGCCATCTCCCCAGCCCCTAGGTCCAGTTTTCTTTGATGAAAGTTTTAAAATACAAACCCATTTTATTCAAAATATATAAAGCTATTCAATTATCTATTTCTCCTTGAGCTACTGGTAGTTTGAGTTTTTTAAAGAGTTGGTTCACAAATCTAGGGAGCAGACTGCACTTATAGCATTCTTTTATTACCCATTTAATGGCTACTTGGTCTTTGGTGATACTGGTAAGTTTTTGTAGCTAGTCTGGCAAGAGGACTTAATAGTTTTACCTTTTCAGCAAACCAGAGTTTGGTTTCATTCGTTTTTTCTATTGTTATATTTTCAATTTCTTCCTAGTTTCTTGTTTTACATTTAACTTGCTTTTCATTTTCTAGCTTCCTAATGTGAAAGTTGACTACAATATGGACTAAAGACCTTTCTTTCTTTTTTTTTTTTTTTAAACAAATGAAAGGAATTAATATTAAAAATTTGTTCATTCTGGGCTTGGTGACAAATAGCTGTAATCTCACCACTCAGGAAGCCAAGGCAGGAAGATCTCAGGGTGTGAGGCCAGCCTAGACTACAAAGCAAAACCCTGTCTCTAACACCCTCTCCCAATTCACTTTTTTTTTTGGTGCCTATGAAGCTATTACTACAGTTCCATCTTCAAATGGGACTGGCCTTAAAGCTGTAGGGCCTTTTTCTTACTTCTCTGGTTGGATATAAGGTCTTTCTCCTCATGTTTGCTCCCTGCACCTGCCTGCCATGTATCCACTTTAGGGTCACATCAGAAGACACACAAAGGGAACAACTAACCCATGCTGCACACTGGTATTCAAGTTTGACTTCACTTCTCAATAGCCTGAGATTGTTTACCTTTCATTTAGATGCTCAAGAAAATGAACTGTCCCCAGAGATTTAGTGGAACCAATGGTATTATCAGGTTACAGACAGCTTTATCCATTTTGGCTGACAGCGAACCCTACGGCAATACTTCTGAGCATTTGCAATATCCACTCCAGCATTTATATGAAGAAAGGGGGAAGTCAATACAACTGATAAGAGTTTCTCATGTCATCTATTTGCATCCAATTTGCCTTATCTTATGAAAAACACTAGAATTGTTTCCAATCTATTACCTTTGCATTAAAGTTTATAATTACTGATTAGCTACAATACGTAATATGTAATGAAATTTTATGTGGAACAGCACACTTTAAGACATCATATATTTTAATGAAAAAAACCCATATTCATTTGTAAAGAATTGTTTAAGAGCTCTTTGAACATTATCTTAGGCAATGAAGAAGTACTAGTGGTATTCTGAATATACAGACTCTATAACAGTATTAGAAATTATCCCTAAATTACCAGTTGCTCTGTAAATGAATGGCAAATAGTAAGTGAACAAAATACACTAGGTCTTGGTTCACAAATGCTTCTGGCTGTAAACAATTTGGTTCTCAAATAGAAGTGTTCAATAAAAGTTTGCTTCTATTCACCCTGGGTAACAAACACAACTGTGGCCATCTTTCCCACACAAACACAGCCCTATTCCCCAAAACTGTAAAACTAATTAAGTTCATGAACTGAGGTACCACGTTATCTATAATAAAATATTCACAAACTA